ATGTCAATATCATACATGGATGAATATTCCATTTACTTTTCATGGTCTATTAATTGAAGGTTTTCATATTTAATTTCTACTTTATGTCTATCTCTTTTAATTATTTCACCTTGTTATCTAGTACTCTGTGTGCGGTGTTGGAATGTGCTGGTAGTGTAATTTGATTGGCCAGGTCTGGATACCAGCCAGCCGTATGTGTGAGGCTGTAATCAGGGGTGACGAATCACTGCAGGGTTGAGGAGAGGTGGGATGTTATCCAGGGTTGATTAAGTTGGCTGGAGAGAAGTTGGGGAATAATTCTCTCTCTCATCCCTCTCTCCCTCTATCCCCCCTTTATCTCTCTTCTCTATTCTATCCCCCCTGTTTCCATCCCTCTTCCTCCTCTCTCCCACCTCTCTCCCCCATCCTTTCCTCTTCTCTCCCCCATCCTTTCCTCTTCTCTCCCCCATCCTTTCCTCTTCTCTCCCCCATCCTTTCCTCTTCTCTACCCCATCACTCTCCTTCCTGTTTTTCTCCTCCTCTCCCTCTATCCATCCAGCTCTGCTTTCCACACAGATGCGAATAGTAATGTTGTATAGTAGCAATTAAAACCGCTGTTGTGATCCTGGGTCAGGAGTGAAGGATGAACTTTGACAGAATGAGGCGATTGTTTTTCTTTTCTTTGATCTATCCTTTATTTGTTTGTGCTGAGGGGATTTGAGCCATTTACATAGAGCTTATAGCTAGCTACATCTTTCTGAATCACCTCAGCAACATTAATTAATGAAGGAACACACACAGAATGTACGCACGATGGCACACACGCACGCACGCACGCACACACACACACACACACACACACACACACACACACACACACACACACACACACACACACACACACACACACACACACACACACACACACACACTCCACAGGGCCTGACTAAGCTTAGTGGCAGATTGGGGTGCTACGGTGCAGATTGGCGTGCTGGGATGGGAACTTGATGAGTGTCGGGCTGTGCTTGTCATTAGGCAGGAGGACAACTAGTGATGTCATTATTCTCCTTGGATACAATCTGTTACTGTAGCTCCTCATCTTCACCTATAACACAGTCTAAAAGGGGAGGTGACAAGATGGTGGAAATATGCATCACTTAAACATGTCCTCTGTTTCAGTTAGCTGTTTGAGATGATTTCCTGATTAATAACCACCATCGACCCTGACCAGCCACTGTGTCGTTGCAGCAGAATACAGCTGATCAACTCGCTCTCTCTCTCTCTCTGTGTGTGTGTGTGTGCTTGTGTGTGTGTGTAACTGTGTATCTCCCCTCACCCTTTATCCTGACGCATGTCCGCCCTTTTACAGTAGGTATTTCTGTGTTTGTGTGTGTGTCTGGGTTAATTAGCTACAGAGCAGCCCCATCTATCAGCCTAATGCTCCGTCCCTGCCCCAGACAGCTCCATTAGCACCACACACACACACACACACACACACACACACACACACACACACACACACACACACACACACACACACACACACACACACACACACACACCACACCACACAGAGCAGCCCCATCAGGGTAGAGGTGTGCTGAACCTCCAGATACCTAGAGAGAAGAAACGTGTCCATCTTCCCCCAGAGGGACCTGGGTCAGGGTGAATATTATAATAGAGATCAGTAGAATGAGCAGGTAACTGGGACTAGAATCCCTTCAACAGTTGAAGTATAACCTACAGGTCCTGACTAGAATCCCCTCAACAGTTGAAGTATAACCTACAGGTCCTGACTAGAATCCCCTCATGATCAGTTGAAGTATAACCTACAGGTCCTGACTAGAATCCCCTCATGATCAGTTGAAGTATAACCTACAGGTCCTGACTAGAATCCCCTCAACAGTTGAAGTATAACCTACAGGTCCTGACTAGAATCCCCTCAACAGTTGAAGTATAACCTACAGAACCTGTAGTAAATTCAGACTCAGTACTTTGTTGAAGCACCTTTGGCAGCGGTTACAGCCTCGAGTCTTCTTGGGTATGATGCTACAAGCTTGACACGCCTATATTTGGGGATTTTCTCCCATTCTTCTCTGCAGATCCTCTCAAGCTCTGTCAGGTTGGATGGGGATCGTCGCTGCACAGCTATTTTCAGGTCTCTCCAGAGATGTTCGATCGGGTTCAAGTCCGGGCTGTGGCTGGGCCACTCAAAGACATTCAGACACTTGTCCCGAAGCCACTCCTGCGTTGTCTTGGCTGTGTGCTTAGGGTCATTGTTGTCCTGTTGGAAGGTGAACCTTCGCCCCAGTCTGAGGTCCTGATCGCTCCTGGAGCAGGTTTTCATCAAGGATCTCTCTGTACTTTGCTCCGTTCATCTTTCCCTCGATCCTGACTAGTCTCCCAGTCCCTGCCGCTGAAAAACATCCCCATCAGACTAGAGAATCTTGTTTCTCATGGTCTGAGAGTCCTTTAGGTGCCTTTTGGCAAACTCGAGCGGGCTGTCATGTGCCTTTTACTGAGGAGTGGCTTCCATCTGGCCACTCTACCATAAAGGCCTGATTGGTGGAGTGCTTCAGAGATGGTTGTCCTTCTGGAAGGTTCTCCTATCTCCACAGAGGAACTCTGGAGCTCTGTCAGAGTGACCATCGGGTTCTTGGTCACCTCCCTGACCAAGGCCCTTCTCCCCCGATTGCTCAGTTTGGCTGGGCGGCCAGCTCTAGGAAGAGTCTTGGTGGTTCCAAACTTCTTAAATAAGGTGTTTCTAAAAACCTGTTTTCGCTTTGTCATTATGGGGTATTGTGTGTAGATTGATGAGGATTTTTTGAACATTTAATCAATTTTAGAATAAGGCTGTAACATAACAAAATGTGGAAAAAGTCAAGGGGTCTGAATAGTTTACAAATGCAATGTACATACAATGCTAACCTGTGGACTGTGTGATTACATGTATGTGCTTGTGTTTGTCAGTATACATGTATGTGTGTATACGTGTGTATGTGTATAATAGTATTAACATGCTGACTGGTGCTTTCCCAGCAGAGTGTGTGATGTGTGATTGTGGTGACTTTATTTTCCCTGGCGTCGGTGTGAACCACACTCCTCAGCCTTTCCTCTCTCCGACCAGCAGGATGATTATTTGATCAGCTCTGATTGAAACTGCATATTCATTAGAGGAAATGGAATTAGAGGTGGATTCACGGCCTAATCCACTTCCCCAGCGAAATCGTAACGAATCCTTAATTTCCTCTCTCCTCCCCTCCCTTTGAAAACGGCTGCTTTTTCAACCCTCGGCTCATAAATGATTCATACTGTACGGTAGAGAGTCACAAGCTTGTCACCACAGTAGGACTGATATTATGGAGTCGACGTGCGGTTATTTATCCTTGTTTCTCTGCATTAGTCCAGAAAGTGTAGATTTTAATGAAAAGTCGTGACTCGTTTGACGAGTGACTCGTGAGCAAAGCCACATATATACATAATTATGTATATGGCTCGGATCATGAGAATGGGTTACATTCATTTACATTTTTACATTTACATTTTAGTAATTTACAGTTAGTGAGTGCATACATTTTTCATACTGGCCCCCATTGGGAATCGAACCAACAACCCTGGCGTTGCAAATGCCATGCTCTACCAACTGAGCTACACGGGGCAATAAAACCTTGCCTGGAAATGCAAGACAGATGACTATAAGCACGATTAGCAGTCATACATTCTGTAGCACTCGATTGCTCCACATTGAACGGCCCACTTCTTTCAGACAAATTATGCAGTAGTGCTGCTGTAGTAATAACAAAATAATACAAAAATAACAGCAAATATGATCACAGGAGGGGAAAAAATCTAACACGTTTCACTTCAGAGTTCTGGTGCTGATAGGAACATGTTCTTTCCAAACTCTAAAAGCTAGGACTACGAATACTACATTTATCAAATACTCCAAGTGCAAGATATGTCCACAGTCCACTATCTTACCTAGATAGAAACAACTATGTTCTCAGAAATGAAAACTACTTCAGGCCAAACTGAGCTGCTTTGAACTTGTGGTCAAGTTCCTGGAGAATGTCAAGTTTGTGGCAGGGGAGTACTTCAAGTGTTTAAGTAACTATTGTTCACATTCACACTCAACCCAATCACTCTCTCACACACACACACACACACACAAATACAATATTTGCATAGTGGTCCTAAGGTTACTAATAGTATAGCCTGTACGACCTACAAGGACCAGCCTAGAAACACATTTGGGCCATGGCTGCCCTAAAGACACAGGTAGTAACATCTGGACCAGGGATAAAGCACACCAACCACTGGTCCACCAGAAAAATAAGAGCCAAGCTATCAATAGGAAAATAAAAGGAAACCAAAAAGGAAACCGGAGGCATCAACTTTCACTGCATGATAAGCAGAAACATATTAAGCGTAAGGAGTCACTAGACTTTTAAAAACACAGTTCATAGATTTAGTACAAAGGTACTAAAATGTATTGTAAGTTTAACATCTGAGTAATACATGACTTAAAAGTCACCCCTTCAAAATAAAAGATTACCCCAAAATATTCAGGTAAAGTCATGAGGAAAGCCAGCCAAAGCCTCGAGGGGGAAATAGACACACACGCACACACTCTTCAACCTCTATCTTGGAAATGCATGTATCCAAGCTGCAATACAAAAAAATATCCATGAAGTATATACGCATATTCTCTGAAAAAAACAAATAATGTATGAAAACATCCCTGCTATCATGTCTCTAAATGCAAAACTTCTACCAATAACTTGCTTCAGTGTAACAAGAGAAGTCATTTTTCCTCTTTTTTGGGGGTATTTTTATCAGTCCTTTCAAAACAGGTAAACATTTCAGTCCTCAGGTGTGAATGGTATGGATGACTGTCTTCTTTTCGTCGTTAAAATCGTTTCCTTTTTTTTCTCTCATATACTTGAAAAAGTTGCAAGCATGCAAGCCTCATAGAGTGGGCAGAGGCGCTGACGGGGCAGGCAAGTGGCGGTGCTGAAGTCTTAGGCCAGGGCCGGGAAGGCCTCTGGGTCGTCAACGTTGGGAACGGACAATCCACGCTGCTTTTCGGGTCGCCCACGCCCAGGGCAGCCCAGGTCTCCAAAGTTGATCTCCAGCTGGGCCGTGATGTCGTTGGCGGGCTTGCGGAAGTGGTGGTCTGGGCCGATTTCATCAGGGTTTCCCTTGAACAGGGGGGTCATGTCTGCTTCAATCTCTGGAGTATCAATCACAGCTGGTCTGTCTTTAGGCTTTTCATCGCTGACATCTTCGCTCTTGGACTTGTGCAGCACGTAGCCCTTGTTCCACTTGCTGTCGGTGCCCTCATTGGGCTTGCGGATGTTGAACTCCACCTTGGCATGCTCCTTGTCCTGCATGGCCTTCCATTCGTCCAGGGTCATCTCCTTGGGGCCCTCATCCTTAGGTTCCTCTACTTCGTTCTCCTTATTCTCAGAGTCTGCAGGAGGGTGTTCCTCTCCCTCAGGGGTTTCCTCAGGGCCAGTAGTCTGTTCAGCATCACCACTCATTTCGTCCTTGGGGTTCCCCCGGTTGTGAGTGCCACTCCCGCCGCGCTTCTCCTCAGATTTCTGAGGTTTGTCGCCATCGCTGTGTCTGTCGAAGTCCCGTTTGCCGCGGGAGTCGAAGCCATCGCCCCGGCCCACGCACCGTCCCCCACGCCCACCACGGGTGCCACCACGACCCTCTGGGGGGCCGGTCTCCTAGAGGCTTGTCTGCAGAGAACTCTCCTCTCTCTCCGCCAACGGGTTTGTCATCGAGGGGTTTGTCAAAGCGGTGCTTGCGCGTGGGTCTCTTGTTGTCCGGCCTCCTGTCGCTGGTGGGCCGCCCTTCCCCCTGTCCGCCCTGGGTGCCAGGCTGGCCCTGCTGGTCCGGCCTCCGGCCCACCCGCCTGATAACTTCTTTCTTCAGAGGTACTGGAGCCTGAGTTTCATCTTTCTTGTCAAGGAGTGGATTCTTCCTGTCCTTCTGTGACTCTTTCTTGGGCTGCTTGGCAGCTTGGGCTGCACACTTGGTGATACCAGCTGCGGCCGACTCTTTCTTCTTGTTCTCCGCCGCCTTTAACACCTCGAACGGATTCATCGTCCAATAGCTGGTCAAACCGATTCGTTACAACGCAGCCGAAGCCTTCTTGCAATTGTCCGGGCATGATGGCGCCCCTTCAGCGGGATTGACCTCAGATTCTATGAGACTGGGTGCGAACAATTCCCTAAATACTGCCATTCATAAAGGTAGCTTTGCCTTTAACTGTATGCTGTGCACAGTAGACAGCACAGTAGACACCACAGTGGACAGCACAATAGACAGCACAGTAGACATGACAGTAGACAGCACAGTAGACAGCACAGTAGACAGCACAGTGGACAGGACATTAGACAGCACAGTAGACAGGACAATAGACAGCACAGTAGACAGCACAGTAGACAGGACAGTAAACAGGACAGTAGACATGACAGTAGACAGCACAGTAGACAGCAAAGTGGACAGCACAATAGACAGCACAGTAGACAGGACAGTAGACAGCACAGTAGAAAGCACAGTAGACAGCACATTAGAAAGGACAGTAGACAGCACAGTAGACAGCACTGTAGACAGGACAGTATACAACACAGTATACAACACAGTAGACAGCACAGTAGACAGCACAGTAGACAGGACAGTAGACAGCACAGTGGACAGGACAGTAGACAGCACAGTAGACAGGACAGTAGACAGCACAGTAGACGGGACAGTAAACAGGACAGTAGACAGGACAGTAGACAGAACAGTGGACAGCACAATAGACAGCACAGTAGACAGGACAGTAGACAGCACAGTAGACAGTACAGTAGACAGGACAGTAAACAGGACAGTAGACAGGACAGTAGACAGCAGAGTAGACAGGACAGTAGACAGCACAGTAGACAGCACAGTAGACAGCACAGTGGACAGGACATTAGACAGCACAGTAGACAGGACAGTAGACAGCACAGTAGACAGCACAGTAGACATGACAGTAAACAGGACAGTAGACAGGACAGTAGACAGCACAGTAGACAGCAAAGTGGACAGCACAATAGACAGCACAGTAGACAAGACAGTAGACAGCACAGTAAACAGCACAGTAGACAGCACATTAGAAAGGACAGTAGACAGCACATTAGAAAGGACAGTAGACAGCACAGTAGACAGCACTGTAGACAGGACAGTATACAACACAGTATACAAAACAGTATACAGCACAGTAGACAGCACAGTAGACAGGACAGTAGACAGCACAGTGGACAGGACAGTAGACAGCATAGTAGACAGGACAGTAGACAGCACAGTAGACAGCACAGTAAACAGGACAGTAGACAGAACAGTAGATAGCACAGTAGACAGAACAGTGGACAGCAAAATAGACAGCACAGTAGACAGGACAGTAGACAGCACAGTAGACAGTACAGTAGACAGGACAGTAAACAGGACAGTAGACAGCACAGTGGACAGGACAGTATACAGCACAGTATACAACACAGTAGACAGCACAGTAGACAACACAGTAGACAGGACAGTAGACAGCACAGTGGACAGGACAGTAGACAGCACAGTAGACAGCACAGTAGATAGCACAGTAGACAGCACAGTAGACAGGACAGTAAATAGGTCAGTAGACAGGACAGTAGATAGCAGAGTAGACAGAACAGTGGACAGCACAATAGACAGCACAGTAGACAGGACAGTAGACAGTACAGTAGACAGGACAGTAAACAGGACAGTAGACAGCACAGTGGACAGGACAGTAGACAGCACAATAGACAGCACAGTGAACAGGACATTAGACAGCACAGTAGACAGGACAGTAGACAGCACAGTAGACAGCACAGTAGACAGGACAGTAAACAAGACAGTAGACAGCAAAGTGGACAGCACAATAGACAGCACAGTAGACAGGACAGTAGACAGCACAGTAGACAGCACATTAGAAAGGACAGTAGACAGCACATTAGAAAGGACAGTAGACAGCACAGTAGACAGCACTGTAGACAGCACAATAGACAGCACAGTAGACAGGACAGTAGACAGCACAGTATACAGTACAGTAGACAGGACAGTAAACAGGACAGTAGACAGCACAGTGGACAGGACAGTAGACAGCACAGTAGACAGGACAGTAGACAGCACAGTAGACAGGACAGTAGACAGCACAGTAGACAGCACAGTAGACATGACAGTAAACAGGACAGTAGACAGGACAGTAGACAGCACAGTAGACAGCAAAGTGGACAGCACAATAGACAGCACAGTAGACAAGACAGTAGACAGCACAGTAAACAGCACAGTAGACAGCACATTAGAAAGGACAGTAGACAGCACATTAGAAAGGACAGTAGACAGCACAGTAGACAGCACTGTAGACAGGACAGTATACAACACAGTATACAAAACAGTATACAGCACAGTAGACAGCACAGTAGACAGGACAGTAGACAGCACAGTGGACAGGACAGTAGACAGCATAGTAGACAGGACAGTAGACAGCACAGTAGACAGCACAGTAAACAGGACAGTAGACAGAACAGTAGATAGCACAGTAGACAGAACAGTGGACAGCAAAATAGACAGCACAGTAGACAGGACAGTAGACAGCACAGTAGACAGTACAGTAGACAGGACAGTAAACAGGACAGTAGACAGCACAGTGGACAGGACAGTATACAGCACAGTATACAACACAGTAGACAGCACAGTAGACAACACAGTAGACAGGACAGTAGACAGCACAGTGGACAGGACAGTAGACAGCACAGTAGACAGCACAGTAGATAGCACAGTAGACAGCACAGTAGACAGGACAGTAAATAGGTCAGTAGACAGGACAGTAGATAGCAGAGTAGACAGAACAGTGGACAGCACAATAGACAGCACAGTAGACAGGACAGTAGACAGTACAGTAGACAGGACAGTAAACAGGACAGTAGACAGCACAGTGGACAGGACAGTAGACAGCACAATAGACAGCACAGTGAACAGGACATTAGACAGCACAGTAGACAGGACAGTAGACAGCACAGTAGACAGCACAGTAGACAGGACAGTAAACAAGACAGTAGACAGCAAAGTGGACAGCACAATAGACAGCACAGTAGACAGGACAGTAGACAGCACAGTAGACAGCACATTAGAAAGGACAGTAGACAGCACATTAGAAAGGACAGTAGACAGCACAGTAGACAGCACTGTAGACAGCACAATAGACAGCACAGTAGACAGGACAGTAGACAGCACAGTATACAGTACAGTAGACAGGACAGTAAACAGGACAGTAGACAGCACAGTGGACAGGACAGTAGACAGCACAGTAGACAGGACAGTAGACAGCACAGTAGACAGGACAGTAGACAGCACAGTAGACAGCACAGTAGAAAGGACAGTGGACAGGACATTAGACAGCACAGTAGACAGGACAGTAGACAGCACAGTAGACAGCACAGTAGACATGACAGTAAACAGGACAGTTGACAGGACAGTAGACAGCACAGTAGACAGCAAAGTGGACAGCACAATAGACAGCACAGTAGACAAGACAGTAGACAGCACAGTAGACAGCACAGTAGACAGCACATTAGAAAGGACAGTAGACAGCACATTAGAAAGGACAGTAGACAGCACAGTAGACAGCACTGTAGACAGGACAGTATACAACACAGTATACAACACAGTAGACAGCACAGTAGACAGCACAGTAGACAGGACAGTAGACAGCACAGTGGACAGGACAGTAGACAGCATAGTAGACAGGACAGTAGACAGCACAGTAGACAGCACAGTAAACAGGACAGTAGACAGAACAGTAGATAGCACAGTAGACAGAACAGTGGACAGCAAAATAGACAGCACAGTAGACAGGACAGTAGACAGCACAGTAGACAGTACAGTAGACAGGACAGTAAACAGGACAGTAGACAGCACAGTGGACAGGACAGTAGACAGCACAGTATACAACACAGTAGACAGCACAGTAGACAACACAGTAGACAGGACAGTAGACAGCACAGTGGACAGGACAGTAGACAGCACAGTACAGCACAGTAGACAGCACAGTAGACAGCACAGTAGACAGGACAGTAAACAGGTCAGTAGACAGGACAGTAGATAGCAGAGTAGACAGAACAGTGGACAGCACAATAGACAGCACAGTAGACAGGACAGTAGACAGTACAGTAGACAGGACAGTAAACAGGACAGTAGACAGCACAGTGGACAGGACAGTAGACAGCACAGTAGACAGCACAGTGGACAGGACATTAGACAGCACAGTAGACAGGACAGTAGACAGCACAGTAGACAGCACAGTAGACAGGACAGTAAACAAGACAGTAGACAGCAAAGTGGACAGCACAATAGACAGCACAGTAGACAGGACAGTAGACAGCACAGTAGACAGCACATTAGAAAGGACAGTAGACAGCACATTAGAAAGGACAGTAGACAGCACAGTAGACAGCACTGTAGACAGCACAATAGACAGCACAGTAGACAGGACAGTAGACAGCACAGTATACAGTACAGTAGACAGGACAGTAAACAGGACAGTAGACAGCACAGTGGACAGGACAGTAGACAGCACAGTAGACAGCACAGTAGACAGCACAGTAGACAGGACAGTAGACAGCACAGTAGACAGCACAGTAGAAAGGACAGTAGACAGCACAGTAGACAGCACAGTAGACAGGACAGTAGACAGGACAGTAGACAGCACAGTGGACAGGACAGTAGACAGCACAGTAGACAGGACAGTAGACAGCACAGTAGACAGGACAGTAGAAAGTACAGTAGACAGCACAGTAGACAGCACAGTAGACAACACAGTATACAACACAATATACAACACAGTAGACAGCACAGTAGACAGGACAGTAGACAGGACAGTTTAACTGTTTGCTGTGCACAGTAGACAGCACAGTAGACACCACAGTGGACAGCACAATAGACAGCACAGTAGACATGACAGTAGACAGCACAGTAGACAGCACAGTAGACAGCACTCTGGACAGGACATTAGACAGCACAGTAGACAGGACAGTAGACAGCACAGTAGACAGCACAGTAGACAGGACAGTAAACAGGACAGTAGAAAGGACAGTAGACAGCACAGTAGACAGCAAAGTGGACAGCACAATAGACAGCACAGTAGACAGGACAGTAGACAGCACAGTAGACAGCACAGTAGACAGCACAGTAGACAGCACATTAGAAAGGACAGTAGACAGCACAGTAGAAAGGACAGTAGACAGCACAGTAGACAGCACTGTAGACAGGACAGTATACAACACAGTATACAACACAGTAGACAGCACAGTAGACAGCACAGTAGACAGGACAGTAGACAGCACAGTGGACAGGACGGTAGACAGCACAGTAGACAGGACAGTAGACAGCACAGTAGACAGAACAGTGGACAGCACAATAGACAGCACAGTAGACAGGACAGTAGACAGCACAGTAGACAGTACAGTAGACAGGACAGTAAACAGAACAGTAGACAGCACAGTGGACAGGACAGTAGACAGGACAGTAGACAGCACAGTAGACATCACAGTAGACAGGACAGTAGACAGCACAGTAGACAGGACAGTAGACAGCACAGTAGACAGCACAGTAGAAAGGACAGTAGACAGCACAGTAGACAGCACAGTAGACAGGACAGTAGACAGGACATTAGACAGCACAGTGGACAGAACAGTAGACAGCACAGTAGACAGGACAGTAGACAGCACAGTAGACAGGACAGTAGACAGCACAGTAGAAAGGACAGTAGACAGCACAGTAGACAGCACAGTAGACAGGACAGTAGACAGCACAGTGGACAGCACAATAGACAGCACAGTAGACAGGACAGTATACATTACAGTAGACAACACAGTAGACAGGACAGTACACAGCACAGTAGACAGTACAGTAGACATGACAGTAAACAGGACAGTAGACAGCACAGTGGACAGGACAGTAGACAGCACAGTAGACAGGACAGTAGACAGCACAGTAGACAGGACAGTAGACAGCACAGTAGACAGGACAGTAGACAGCACAGTAGACAGCACAGTAGAAAGGACAGTAGACAGCACAGTAGACAGCACAGTAGACAGGACAGTAGACAGGACAGTAGACAGCACAGTGGACAGAACAGTAGACAGCACAGTAGACAGGACAGTAGACAGCACAGTAGACAGGACAGTAGACAGCACAGTAGACAGCACAGTAGAAAGGACAGTAGACAGCACAGTAGACAGCACAGTAGACAGGACAGTAGACAGCACAGTGGACAGCACAATAGACAGCACAGTAGACAGGACAGTATACATTACAGTAGATAACACAGTAGACAGGAGAGTAGACAGCACAGTAGACAGCACAGTAGAAAGGACAGTAGACAGCACAGTAGACAGCACAGTAGACAGGACAGTAGACAGCACAGTGGACAGCACAATAGACAGCACAGTAGACAGGACAGTATACATTACAGTAGATAACACAGTAGACAGGAGAGTAGACAGCACAGTAGACAGCACAGTAGAAAGGACAGTAGACAGCACAGTAGACAGCACATTAGACAGGACAGTAGACAGGACAGTAGACAGCACAGTGGACAGCACAGTAGACAGGACAGTAGACAGGACAGAAGACAGCACAGTAGACAGGACAGTAGACAGGACAGAAGACAGCACAGTAGACAGCACAGTAGACAGCACAGTAGAAAGGACAGTAGACAGCACAGTAGACAGCACAGTAGACAACACAGTATACAACACAATATACAACACAGTAGACATCACAGTAGACAGGACAGTAGACAGGACAGTAGACAGCACAGTGGACAGGACAGTAGACAGCACAGTAGACAGCACAGTAGACAGGACAGTAGACAGCACAGTAGACAGCACAGTAGACAGCACAGTAGAAAGGACAGTAGACAGCACAGTAGACAGCACAGTAGACAGGACAGTAGACAGGACAGTAGACAGCACAGTAGACAGGACAGTAGACAGGACAGTAGACAGCACAGTGGACAGGACAGTAGACAGCACAGTAGACAGCACAGTAGACAGGGCAGTAGACAGCACAGTAGACAGCACAGTAGACCGCACAGTAGACAGGACAGTAGACAGCACAGTAGACAGAACAGTGGACAGCACAATAGACAGCACAGTAGACAGGACAGTAGATAGCACAGTAGACAGTACAGTAGACAGGACAGTAAACAGAACAGTAGACAGCACAGTGGACAGGACAGTAGACAGGACAGTAGACAGCACAGTAGACAGCACAGTAGACAGGACAGTAGACAGCACAGTAGACAGGACAGTAGACAGCACAGTAGACAGCACAGTAGAAAGGACAGTAGACAGCACTGTGGGACAGTAGACAGGACATTAGACAGCACAGTGGACAGAACAGTAGACAGCACAGTAGACAGGACCGTAGACAGCACAGTAGACAGGACAGTAGACAGCACAGTAGAAAGGACAGTAGACAGCACAGTAGACAGCACAGTAGACAGGACAGTAGACAGCACAGTGGACAGCACAATAGACAGCACAGTAGACAGGACAGTATACATTACAGTAGACAACACAGTAGACAGGACAGTAGACAGTACAGTAGACAGGACAGTAAACAGGACAGTAGACAGCACAGTAGACAGCACAGTGGACAGGACAGTAGACAGCACAGTAGACAGGACAGTAGACAGCACAGTAGACAGCACAGTAGACAGGACAGTAGACAGGACAGTAGACAGCACAGTAGACAGCACAGTAGAAAGGACAGTAGACAGCACAGTAGACAGCACAGTAGACAGGACAGTAGACAGGACATTAGACAGCACAGTGGACAGAACAGTAGACAGCACAGTAGACAGGACAGTAGACAGCACAGTAGACAGGACAGTAGACAGCACAGTAGACAGCACAGTAGAAAGGACAGTAGACAGCACAGTAGACAGCACAGTAGACAGGACAGTAGACAGCACAGTGGACAGCACAATAGACAGCACAGTAGACAGGACAGTATACATTACAGTAGATAACACAGTAGACAGGACAGTAGACAGCACAGTAGACAGCACAGTAGAAAGGACAGTAGACAGCACAGTAGACAGCACATTAGACAGGACAGTAGACAGGACAGTAGACAGCACAGTGGACAGCACAGTAGACAACACAGTAAACAGGACAGTAGACAGTACAGTGGACAGCACAATAGACAGCACAGTAGACAAGACAGTAGACAGCACAGTTGACAGCACAGTAGACAGGACAGTAGACAGGACAGAAGACAGCACAGTAGACAGGACAGTAGACAGGACAGAAGACAGCACAGTAGACAGCACAGTAGACAGCACAGTAGAAAGGACAGTAGACAGCACAGTAGACAGCACAGTAGACAACACAGTATACAACACAATATACAACACAGTAGACAGCACAGTAGACAGGACAGTAGACAGGACAGTAGACAGCACAGTGGACAGGACAGTAGACAGCACAGTAGACAGCACAGTAGACAGGACAGTAGACAGCACAGTAGACAGCACAGTAGACAGCACAGTAGAAAGGACAGTAGACAGCACAGTAGACAGCACAGTAGACAGGACAGTAGACAGGACAGTAGACAGGACAGTAGACAGGACAGTAGACAGCACAGTGTACAGGACAGTAGACAGCACAGTAGACAGCACAGTAGACAGGGCAGTAGACAGCACAGTAGACAGCACAGTAGACCGCACAGTAGACAGGACAGTAGACAGCACAGTGGACAGCACAGTAGACAGGACAGTAAACAGGACAGTAGACAGTACAGTGGACAGCACAATAGACAGCACAGTAGACAAGACAGTAGACAGCACAGTGGACAGCACAGTAGACAGGACAGTAGACAGGACAGAAGACAGCACAGTAGACTGGACAGTAGACAGGACAGAAGACAGCACAGTAGACAGCACAGTAGACTGCACAGTAGAAAGGACAGTAGACAGCACAGTAGACAGCACAGTAGACAACACAGTATACAACACAATATACAACACAGTAGACAGCACAGTAGACAGGACAGTAGACAGCACAGTGGACAGGACAGTAGACAGCACAGTAGACAGCACAGTAGACAGGACAGTAGACAGCACAGTAGACAGCACAGTAGACAGCACAGTAGAAAGGACAGTAGACAGCACAGTAGACAGCACAGTAGACAGGACAGTAGACAGGACAGTAGACAGCACAGTAGACAGGACAGTAGACAGCACAGTGGACAGGACAGTAGACAGCACAGTAGACAGCACAGTAGACAGGGCAGTAGACAGCACAGTAGACAGCACAGTAGACCGCACAGTAGACAGGACAGTAGACAGTACAGTAGACAGTACAGTATACAACACAGTAGACGGTATAGTATTTATTTCATGTGTATGTTATACTGTTTATTTATCAACTCATTACCTCTACATGTTACTCATCCCACTCAGTCTTTCATTTTCTCATTCTCGCCATCGTTCTCTTTAACAGAGATCAAAAGAGGCATGCTTTCCGAGGTCACTAGGACGCTTTCTCATCGCCATGCCGATATGGACGACCGTGATTTCAAATTCATGAGCTCACATATTTCTTCCTTTAACGTGGATATTCTTCTGTTTGCTGTGGGAAAATAAGATATTCTGTTTTATCCATTGTTTACCTCCCTAACCCCTTTTTTTATTTTTATTGTATTTTGATATTTTTCTTCTTTATTTGTTTACCTTCAACCAACATACATTATTAATATCTACTTGGCTAAACTTTATGACCGTTTGTATTGCTTTGTGTTTGTAATATTCTTTCGTTTTGGAAAATATAAACTCTTAAAAAGTCACTTTTATATCTTCCAAGAGAGCTGACAACATAGAAAATGTAGCTAGTATAATAGCCTTTCATGGCCGGAAGATTGGTGAAAGTGAGTGAAAGTGAGTGCCTCCTCGCCTGGGAATCAAAGAAGTCTCCAATTACTGGTTGTTAGATGTGCTGTTTTTGAACTGACAAGCGTTGATAGCACTGAGACACAGAGACAATGAGCAATGGGTGGTTACAAACTTCTTCCATTTAAGAATGATGGAGGCCACTGTGTTCCCCCTTCATTGCTGCCCCTTCATTGCTGCAGAAATGTTTTGGTACCCTTCCCCAGATCTGTGCCTGGACACAATCCTGTCTCGGAGCTCTACGGACAATTCCTTCGACCTCATGGCTTGGTTTTTGCTCTGACATGCACTGTCAACTGTGGGACCTTATATAGACAGATGTGTGCCTTTCCAAATCATGTCCAATCAATTGAATTTACCATAGGTGGACTCCAATCAAGTTGTAGAAACATCTCAAGGATGATCAATGGAAACAGGATGCACCTGAGCTCAATTTCGAGTTTCACAGCAAATGGTCTGAATACTTATGTAAATAAGGTGTAAAAACCTGTTTTTGTTTTGTCATTATGGGGTATTGTGTGTAGATTAATGAGGAAAATCTATTTTAGAATAAGGCTGTAATGTAACAAAATTTGGAAAAAGTCAGGGGCTCTGAATACTTTCCGAATGCACTGTATGTGGTGTATGAGTGTGTGGGAGTGGGAGCATACAAGTGTGAGTGTGTGTACACAGTGGTCTAAGGCACTGCATCGCAGTGCTAGCTGTGCCACTAGAGATCCTGGTTCGAATCCAGGCTCTGTCGTAGCCGGCCGCGACCGGGAGACCCATGGGGCGGCGCACAATTGGCCCAGCGTCGTCCAGGGTAGGGGAGGGAATGGCCGGCAGGGATGTAGCTCAGTTGGTAGAGCATGGCGTTTGCAACGCCAGGGTTGTGGGTTCGATTCCCATGGGGGGCCAGTATGAAAAATAAAAAATAATGTATTCACTAACTGTAAGTCGCTCTGGATAAGAGCGTCTGCTAAATGACTAAAATGTAAATGTACAGTGGGGAAAAAAAGTATTTAGTCAGCCACCAATTGTGCAAGTTCTCCCACTTAAAAAGATGAGAGAGGCCTTTAATTTGCATCATAGGTACACGTCAACTATGACAGACAAATTGAGGGAAAAAAAATCCAGAAAATCACATTGTAGGATTTATTTGCAAATTATGGTGGAAAATAAGTATTTGGTCACCAACAAACAAGCAAGATTTCTGGCTCTCACAGACCTGTAACTGTCGTTGAAATATTTGACTAATAATTAATCAACTCAAAAATATCTCTCAAGACACCAGAGCTTGTGAATCCAAGAATTAGACTTTATTGCATAACAAAGCCGAGCTTGCTCCATGGAACAACTGTCTCTCTCTGGCTTAGAGATCTCTTATATACACACAAATGAACAAACATGCGTACATTCCTAACTTATTTTAGTTCTGCACCACCCTTCTTTTTCAACGTCCAGCTGTCACACAATGTCCACTCCAAAAGGTCATGAATGCTTTTTTTCTATATGAAGCCTCTCATTCTATCATTCTATTGGCTGCGTGGCTTAGGCCCCTTCTGAAAAAAGAACTAATGTAATGCATACCATGTGTCCATAACAAGCCCATGGGCCACAGTTTGAGAGCCCCTGCGACAGAGCACATACATTCATTTAAACAGTAATGTTTATTACTAATATTATTATTTTACCTTTGACCTCTCCCTACATTTGCCTTAATGATACATAAAATAATACCATATAATCCCCCCTATGGGACATTCCAACAATGTCCCAACAATACAAAGATTAATTGTAAAAATGAATATAAGCATGTGCATTTCCTTATTTCTAACCTTGCCATATGTGGTTACTTTTCATATGCATATATTTAAACCAATATATCTTCCTCATTACTTGACCCATCCTGATGAGGACCCATAGCCCAGTCAGGTATTGATTACAAGTCTAGAAGGTTTTCCTCTAAACTAACCTCCACATTTTCCTGTTGGGCTTTGTAACCATGGCAAGCCCATCCACCCCCAGGAACAACTCCATACAAACATTCAGGATTCCCAAATTCCCAAAATGTCCCATATTTATTTACCTACTGTCATGGCGCTCCCTGTACTGGGTGTATTTCTTTATAAACAATGCTCCCCACTGTTGTTTAGTTATAGCCTTTCCCATATATGTGTTAGTATCCTATCACATCAACATATGCAACTTTGTCTTAACAATAATATCTAGGACATGTTTAAGAATGGTGTCAATATCTTTAGATTACATAACCTTTTTCACCCATATCACAAGTATTATAACAATCAAAATAATCAATATCCATATCTAATCAAGTAATTGCCATGTCAACATCACTAAGCATTAATATTAATAAGTTATTCAGATCAATCAGTCCACTTATAATTTATAATCATAATCAAATTAATTACCCAAAACAACTTTAGAATGACAATTCTTAACACTCACCTTGGCACATATTGACACTGGCCGAATGTATATTTATATTATAATAATTCTAGCATTAACTTCCTCATAACGAGAATTACAACAGATCAGTACCTCAATGCATTGTCCAAATTACTATAAATTTAGTAGTGTATAATACCTCCTTAATCAACATACTACCTCAACTAACACTCCCTTCCTCTACCGGCACTCAATCTTCTGGCGTCTTCATTATGTTCTTCAGATAGCTTCATAGTTCATCTTGGATTACCCATAGCAATGTCCCAATTCCAATGTCACACCTGAACCGCCACACCTCCACCATCATTCTGTTTTGTCCATGTGCAAACCAGTATACCCAAACTAGGAAGAACGTTGCATTTGCATAGACCTCTTTCCTCACATTCTTGAAAGAAAAGGCACAAAAGAGAAGGCAATTGATTGCTTTGATTTGATGCTGGATTCAGGTCTCCTGGCAGAGGTGATGTCAGACAAGAACGTCTTCAACGCCTTTGTTGTTCCTCTTCAGCCGAGTAGAGGATTTTTGGTTTTTATTGAGGTTTACACCGTTCTGGGCCAAATGATCTCTGCAATGCATTACGACACCATCCGTAGTAACCTCAGGAAAGGACAGATCATAACAGTTCAGTTGAGTTAATTTCCAATCCAAAACATCCCTATTAACATTGTCTACATGACAAATCATTATGTTTCACATTCTCCCTGAATTCTCCCAAATTATATAACCCAATTGTTTTATTGTAACATTCCTATATTTTTGCTCATACTCTATTTGACATTACTCTGGTGTTTCCCTTTCCTTGTTCCTATTCTAACAATTGCTTACACTTCTCTCCTCATCCTGGTTGATCATAAAATTGTTTATATTTAGGATTTCCTAAATATTACAAACATTCTGCTGGCCAATATGGTCTTTCCGAGTTCCTTATATGACAAAAGTTGTAGTTGAATCATAACACAGTCCTAGTAACTGTGAAGATTTTGAACTACTGTTAATTCTTTAAACGGAGATGTGGTGCATATTAGACTATTTTCTTTATTTAATTGTAATATAATATATTGTACTCATCTATATCAATCATTGTTTAACGGCTCCTTCAATTCCCTTTCTTCTGTATTTGGTATAGCTCTAACATATACAGGGTTTAATGCACTTTCCCAAGGAATAACTACTCCAATAACACTTCCCCCTGGAAATCTAACACCAAATACTACATCAAATTGTTTATCTAAGTCTTGGACTGTTCTCCTTATGTCTATGATTCACCTGTCTCTTTCTTTCATTATCTTAAGGTCACACTACCCCATGTGACTTCCCCATACTCTTTGTGCTGGTTTCTCACACACCAATAATATTTTAACCCTTGTATTTTAATAGTGATCCCTTCTATGTCTTTTCCTTCTGCTCTTTATTATTATATGTACTCCATTCCCCTTATTCTCACGTAACTAGTCAAGTGTAGAGAAATCAATGATAAGGATATCTGGTGCGTCTTGGAGGTCTGGAATCTCTCGGCGGTCTGGAAGGTCCTTAAAGTCTCTTAATCATCAGTTCCCTCACTCTGGTACAATGGTTAAGATGATACCCGATACTCCCCTCTATCCGTACCATCGTTGGTATAACCTGGACAACGATGTGTATGGTCACTTCAGTTGTTAACCTTCCCCCGTCACTAGGGTCTCCGGATCAGCCAGAGTCCCTCTCAATCTATCGACATCGGTCTGTGAAAAGTGTCCTTCAATCAGCCTACCCATAGGGAAGCTCAGAGTTACTGCTGCAAAGACACAAGCACAGACACACACAAAAGACAACAATGCTACCCAATGGCTGAGGTTGGAACACTCCTATAGTGAGAAACATGAATCTAAGTATCTGTCTCCACCACTTTTACCATCATTAAGGTAGCCAACAACACCTGGTACAGGCCCCTCCACATAGGGTCTTTCCAGCTCTTTCTTCTGTAGTCTTTTGCCATCACATAGTCTCCAGGGCACAGAAAATACTCAGATTCTCCTACTCAGTTGGGCAGAGTTATCTTGACCCATGAAAATTATCATAGGGTTTAAAAACGAACTTAACAACATCATTCATGCTAAATTTCCATAGTAACGTCATGTTTGGTTTAGTTGATCTATTACCATATAAGACATTCACTTCTCCATGCGTCGTAAAACTGTATCCTATTTCTCCTGTAATCAACTAAAATCATAGCCACGCAATTAAATCATCGCCTCGCCATTACAGAATGAATGAGATCTATTAATTTATCCTTTCTAAGTAAGCTACTAGTAACACCAAACATTTGCTGTGGTTTGCCAGGCCCGTCTGAAGTTTGTTAGGTTGCATTTGGATGATCCAGAAGAGGATTGGGAGAATGTCATATGGTCAGATGAAACCAAAATATAACTTTTTGGTAAAAACTAAACTTGTCGTGTTTGGAGGACAAAGAATGCTGAGTTGCATCCAAAGAACACCATACCTACTGTGAAGCATTGGGATGGAAACATCATGCGTTGGGACTGTTTTTCTGCAAAGGGACCAGGACGACTGATCCGTGTAAAGGAAAGAATGAATGGGGCCATGTATCGTGAGATTTTGAGTGAAAACCTCCTTCCATCAGCAAGGGCATTGAAGATGAAACGTGGCTGGGTCTTTCAGCATGACAATGATCCCAAACACACCGCCCGGGCAACGAAGGAGTGGCTTCGTAAGAAGCATTTCAAGGTCCTGGAGTGGCCTAGCCAGTCTCCAGATCTCAACCCCATAGAAAATCTTTGGAGGGAGTTGAAAGTCTGTGTTGCCCAGCGACAGCCCCAAAACATCACTGCTCTAGAGGAGATCTGCATGGAGGAATGGGCCAAAATACCAGCAACAGTGTGTGAAAACCTTGTGAAGACTTACATAAAACGTTTGACCTGTGTCATTGCCAACAAAGGGTATATAACAAAGTATTGAGAAACTTTTGTTATTGACCAAATACTTATTTTCCACCATAATTTGCAAATAAATTCATTAAGAATCCTACAATGTGATTTTCTGGATTTTTTTTCCTCATTTTGTCTGTCATAGTTGACGTGTACCTATGATGAAAATTACAGGCCTCACTCATCTTTTTAAGTGGGAGAACTTGCACAATTGGTGGCTGACTAAATACTTTTTTTCCCCACTGTATGTACACGTCTGTGTGTGTGTCAGTTTGTGAGAGAGAGTGTGTGTGTATAAGTCAGCCATAGGGCAGCCTCTCCCTCCCTAGAAATCAACCTGTCAGTCATCCATCTCTCACCCAGAGTCCATTACTTCGCCATCTGACTTGCAGCCCTCCCTGCCTCCCTGTCCTCCCTGCAAGTCTGTCTGCGTGCCCTTTATTCCTCCCCAAGCCTCTCTCTCTCTTTCTACCTCCCTATCCAAGCCTCTCTCTTTCTACCTCCCTATCCAAGCCTCTCTCTTTCTACCTCCCTATCCAAGCCTCTCTCTTTCTACCTCCCTATCCAAGCCTCTCTCTCTCTACCTCCCTATCCAAGCCTCTCTCTCTCTACCTCCCTATCCAAGCCTCTCTCTTTCTACCTCCATATCCAAGCCTCTCTCTCTCTACCTCCCTATCCAAGCCTCTCTCTTTCTACCTCTTTATCCAAGCCTCTCTCTCTCTACCTCCCTATCCAAGCCTCTCTCTTTCTACCTCCCTATCCTAGCCTCTCTCTCTCTACCTCCCTATCCAAGCCTCTCTCTTTCTACCTCCCTATCCAAGCCTCTCTCTCTCTACCTCCCTATCCAAGCCTCTTTCTCTCTCTACCTCTCTATCCAAGCCTCTCTCTACCTCTCTATCCAAGCCTCTCTCTGCCTGCCTCCCTATCCAAGCCTCTCTCTTTCTACCTCCCTATCCAAGCCTCTCTCTCTCTACCTCCCTATCCAAGCCTCTTTCTCTCTCTACCTCTCTATCCAAGCCTCTCTCTACCTCCCTATCCAAGCCTCTCTCTGCCTGCCTCCCTATCAGGCATCTCCCTGCCTACCTTCATACCCCAGCCTGTCTCCTGTCTGGGGCTCTACTGCCTCTCTGCCTGTCTGTCTCAGGCTCCTTGGCTGGGCTCGCTGCTTTTCTAACCCTAACCCTAACCCTTTCAGCTGGGTTGTATGGTCACTGATAAACCACTTGGATGGAGTATGACCTCTGGCTAGTGTAATTTATCTAAATTTCTTCAGTGCCATGCTATCAGTAATTACCCTCTCATTCTGTCCCCTATCCTCTGGAGAGTGACACCCTTTCTACTCTCATCTCTCTTAACGCATCCCTTCATCTCTCTCTCTCTCTCTCTCTCTCTCTCTCGCTCTCTCTCTCTTTCGGCTTACTCTGTCTTTCCTTAGAATCCCCTCAGATCAGCTATGCGTGTCCTTGGTTCCAGATCTAAGTTATAACACGTTAAACACCTTCTCCTCTCCTCCTCTGTCCTAACTCATCCCTTCCCTCTTTTCTCTCTCTCTCTCTCTCTCCTCAGATCCCTCAGATCAGCTATGCGTCCACAGCCCCGGAGCTCAGTGACAACACGAGGTATGACTTCTTCTCCCGCGTCGTCCCTCCGGACTCCTATCAGGCCCAGGCAATGATGGACATCGTCACGGCGATGGGATGGAACTATGTGTCCACGCTCGCGTCCGAGGGGAACTACGGCGAGAGCGGTGTCGAGGCCTTCGTACAGATCTCCCGGGAAACAGGTACATGGAATAGCGTAAACATGCTCAAACACACTCTAACACACAGTACTAAATGGAGGTGCTGAATCTTCATGAACAGAGTCTACAGTTCTTGAGTGTTTGGACATCTCTCTTCAGTGCTGGGTCTCTGGGGAACTCTGAACAACAATAGCTGCCCTAGTAGATGCCAGTCTCAAATATCTCTCTTTAAAAACATCATTGATATTAACTGTCAGATAGTATCTGTCAGCTACAGATTGACAGTCAGTCAGCATAAAAAAACATATTTCATCAGATAAACTCTCTAGTGGTTTTAACTTGTCTCTGTGTGTTTGTTGAGATTGCTCGGCTTTGCCAGCGATCACTGATGTCTATTTTTGTCATCAAATGACACCTCATTCCCAATATACTGAAATGCATAATGTTTGTTTGGGGAATATGGCATCAATTCAGACATCATATTCAAACAGTCAATTCAGACACGTGAATTCCCTCCCAAACTCACAGATAGACATCAGTGAGCATTTGAGTTGGAGCCCCTGCTGTTCTTACTGCTGTAAGCAGCACTGCTGCTAGTTTTTACTGTTTGCCTTTACTGTGGGTTTCTATACTGTGGGTTTAGTCTCTAGTGTACATGTCTCAGTGCTGCTCTCTTCCCTGCTGTGCTGTGCTGAGGGCTATGTGGTGTGACAGTGAACAGTCAGCTGTTTAGATGTGTAGCCTTGCTAGGGCTGTGCAGATGTTGACATGGCTGGAGGGGAGAGGGGAGGGGGGAAGAGGGGGGGAAGGAGCAGGCCCAAACATCAGCAGTGGAGCTGTCTGTATGTATGTCTGTCCATTTGATATGACGCTGAGCAACACATTTACAAAACTAAAAGAGAATACCATGCAGATCCACACACTCAAACTAACATATTTCATTCAGTAGGCTCAATTTGGATAGAGTGCAATTGCAGTCATTAGCGGAAGTTAATTAGAAGGAAGTGAATGTCCATTCCCTGTTTCCTGCTCCCAAGTGGACAGCTTTTATTCCACTACACTGTGTCTTGTGTTCTAGTTGTGGAGTAATACTAACACCATGATCCTCCCACTGCCCTGTCTGTGGTTATCTGTGTGGACACACACAGGGGGTGGCTGGAAGACGAACTGTATATGTGCGCGCACACGTGTGTGTGTATGTTCCTACATGTATGTGTGTGTGACGAGTCTGAGAGGAGAGAGAAGTCGACTGACTGTCTCGCTGAATTGGTTTTAATGAAGAGTAGCTGGGAGGAGGAGAGAGGAGGATGAGGAGAGGGGGAAAGGGGAAGAGAGGAATAACAGAATGAGGCCACAGCAGGCTACATGGATATAATCACAAAGTAATGACAGGTAATAGACCAACCATCCTCCACTCTGCCTCCACAGCATTCCTTCTCTCTCTCTGTCTCTGTCTCTCTCTCTGTCTCTCTCTCTGTCTCTCTCTCTCTCTCTCTCGCTCTCGCTCTCGCTCTCTCTTTCTCTCGCTCTCTCAATTCAATTCAATTTAAGGGCTTTATTGGCATGGGAAACGTATGTTAATATTGCCAAAGCAAGTGAAGTAGATAGTAAACAAAAGTGAAATAAACAATAAATATTAACAGTAAATATTACACTCAGAATGTCCAAAAGAATAAATACATTTCAAATGTCATATTATGTCTATATACAGTGTTGTAACAATGTGCAAATAATTAAAGTACAAATGGGAAAATAAATAAACATAAATATGGGTTGTTTTTACAATGGTGTTTGTTCTTCACTGGTTGCCCTTTTCTTGTGGC